TAGACAAAACAATTGGTCCGGTAGTTAGGCGGGCACACAGACACCAGACAGCCGGAAACAGGACATCAATTTTTTCATACTCTAGGGGTCATAAACGTCGAGAAAACAGGAAAGTATCCATTCCCTGGATAGACTGTATTACAATACTTCCTTAGCTTACGCTCGGGACGCAAAAATGTAAAATAAAACAGAACTAAAAAATCAAGGAACAGTTATTTAGGAGTCGAACAGAGATGTGGTATAAATAAAAGTATTGACTCAACTTTTTTCATAAAAATGGATGTGTGAAAATATTTTTCTTAGGCGCCTATTATCGCGGCGGTGAAAAAACCAACCTTCCAACGTGATCGGTAGTGTGTTTTACTGCTGTGTGTTTTTCACAGTTTTGGTGAGTTTGTTCCAAAATGTTTAACTGTTGAACGGCAGTAAAGTGTTCCTTTCTCCGGCCATATTCTTTAATTTCGAGCTAAACTGGCGATTTTTAGGTTTGTTGGCATTCTTGATGCTAACATTTTTATCGATTTTGTTTTTGCTGCCAACAGATAAGTTCTTTTAATTGAGGGAGGTCTTCTACGGCGGCGAGCGCAGTGTTCGCTTTGGGAATTGGTTTTTCTTAGGACTATTCTTTGTTGTTTCTTTTGTTTTAATATTACCGCCACTCAGATGGCGGCTGGTTCACCTGATTTTCCTAGTAAAGACCAAGCAATAGTTCTTATTGCGGTCGAAAACTGAGTATTGTACCACTATGTTGTAGCAATAGGTAATATTGTTACTCCAAAAACTGTTAGATTTGCCTCCAACATGTCCAAAAGTCGTATTACATTTATCTTAGTTCGAAAGAGTTAGTTGATAAAATAATTGATAAGCACCCCACCGTTAAAGTTAAAGGCATAGATGTAGCGGTGTGTCCTTCGATTCCGCATGTATATACATATGAGAGGAGGTGCGGTTTGTATATATTTTTCAAAATATGCCAATTTACAGGTCACTTCGCTATCGTTCGATAAATGTAGTATTGAAGCCTTGTTCCTCAAGTTGTGTGATAGGTATGTTACTTTTCTTTTGGGCTGTGTATATAGGTCTCCTTCGTCTTCAATTGACAATGATAAAATTTTAGTTGACTTCATCATAAACGTTTCGAGTACCTATGAGAAATCTTTTATTTTTGGCGATTTCAACATGCCTGATATTTCATGACCTCTAGACACTAGTTTGTAAAGAATTTGAAGTGCTTTAGAGCCTCAAGTGTCTTTTCTTATAATAATTTAATTAAATTTCTTAGAGGATACGTCATTTGCTAAAATCAGTCTTATCTTAGCAGGTACTAGCCCCGCCCACCCACCCTCTCTTTTCTTAGAGAATATGTCATTTGCCAAAATCAGTATTAACATGTACTAGCTCCACCCACCCGCCTTCTCTTTTCTTAGAGGGTATGTCATTTGCCAAAATCAGTCTTATTTTAGTAGATACTAGCCCCGCCCACCCAACCTATCTTTTCTTAGAAGGTATGTCATTTGCCAAAATCAGTTTTATCTTAGCAAGTACTAGCCCCGCCCTCCCACCCTCTCTTTTCTTAGAGGGTTTCTCATTTGCCGAAGATCGGTTTTATTTTAGCAGGTACTAGCTCCGCCCTCTATTTTCTTAGAGGGTTTCTCATTTGCCGAAGATCGGTTTTATTTTAGCAGGTACTAGCTCCGCCCTCTATTTTCTTAGAGGGATTTCATTTTCCAAAATCAGTCATATCTATCCGAAGAAAAGAGAGGGTGGGTGGGCGGGGCTAGTACCTGCTAAGATAAGGCTTATTTTGGCAAATCACATACCTTCTAAGAGAAGAGAGGGTGGGTGGGCGGGGCTAGTACTTGCTAAGATAAGACTGATTTTTGTTAATAAGACACTCTCTAAGAAAAGAGAGGGTGGGCGGGCGGAGCTAGTACCTACTAAGAAAATTCTGATTTTGGCAAATGAGATACCCCTAAGAAAAGAGAGGGCAGGTGGGTGGGGCTAGACCTGCTCAGATAACAATGATTTTATTAGAAGGTATGTCATTTGCTAAAATCAGTCTTATCTTAGAAGGCACTAGCCCCGCCCATCCACCCTCTTTTTTCTTAGAGGGTATGTCATTTGCCAAAATCGGTCTTATTTTAGTAGATAGTAGCCCCACCCATCCTCCCCCTCTTTTCTTAGAGGGTATTTCATTTGCCAAAATCAGTTTTATCTTAGCACATACTAGCCCCGCCCACCCATCCTCTCTTTTCTTAGAAGGTATGTCATTTGCCAAAATCAGTCTTATCTTATCAGGTACTAATGCACCCTCCCAACTTTTAGTTGAACTGTTGATTACCAGCCATCTTAATTAATCAGCTGGTTTTGGAACCTACGAGATATAGACCAAATCAACTCCTTCTCTACGTGACTTAATATTCTCTTCCGACGACAACTCACTGGTCAAGTTGGATTACTTAAGCCCAATTGGCAAGTTATATTATGTTACCTTAAATATTGCCCTACAAATTAGCTTTAAACCTTATATGAGGACCGTCTCAATTAGGAAGACGTGTATAGATTTTAAAGCCGTAGGTCACAATCTAAACGAACTTCATTGGGAATCGATATTGTCCAAGCATCAAGTAAGTAGTCAGTGATAACTAGAACGTGTTTAAAGGTATCATTCATGATAAGGTTGGGGAATATACGAACATCGTAACCGTTAAAAGATCAACAAAAACCCTTAGATTGATCAGTAAAACTTTAAGGTTAATCAAGAAGAAGTGGGCTCTGTGACGCACTTTTAAAATATCTGGTTTCGAGACTGATTATGCAGACCACAGAACGTTCTCGAATCAACTTAGGGTCCTAAAGCAGTTTTATAAATGTATTCATTCTGAATTGTCGGGTTCTGCTGGGCCTTTACAGACAAGAGATAACTTTGACAATATATATAGTGGACAATAGTCAGATTTAATGCCCATGATTACAGATTCCAGGAATACTTTTTCTCTTAACTAAACTAAGAATGTCCAATACTCCAGGTCCTGATTTAATGAGGGCTAGTGTTTTGAGAAATTGTGCGGAAGCACTCGGTGTCCCCATAGCATTCTAATGCAGCAATCTTTTAAGACAAGTTCCTTACCAGATGATTGGAGGACTGCAATTGTTCGTCCTATTTTTAAAAAGGGTTACAAATTTGAAGCCTTAAGTTATAGACCGGTCGGTTTAACGTCGATTGTCGTTAAAATGATGGAGTCCATAAGATATGTAAGTTTATGTTAGACCATCAAGTTATCCCACCCGAATGGTATGAAAAATCGCTCCTTTGTTGCTCACTTGACTAGACAAGGGACTTAGACTCCAAGTGTCCTTTTGATATTATCTATTTCAATTTCTCCCTAGGCATTTGATAAGGTTCCAAAGCATCGTCTTCTTTATAAGCTTCAACACTGTGTTATACGGGTAAATCTTCCTGAATGCATTAATTCATTCTTAAGGGGAAGTTTCCGTGTTAAGGTTGGGAATGCGTTTAGCAAGAGTATTGATGAAGTGGAGTACCACAGGGCTCAGTACTCGGCCCTTTTATTATCTACACGGTTGATTTTCAGAATTTAATGAAAGATATTCATGTCATACATAATTGGTCCAAAGACTGGTTACTCCCCTTAAATTTGGACATGTATACTACTTTATATATTGGTAACAAAAACCCCAGACATCCATATTGTATGGGCAATATTAAGTTATCCAGTACATATTCGTATCTTGATTTAGGTTTTGTGATTAACAGCAATCTATCATGGTCAGAACGTGTTGTACACGTCACGAAGAAGGCTAACAGAAAGTCGTTTCTGCTAAGTAAAACATTCGCTAAAGCAACTCCTGTGGCTTTTTCAAAATTACATAAAATCTTTGTGAGGCCTTTGCTTGAATTTGCTAATTATTGTGTTTGGTCCCCTGTACTTCAGCAGGATATTCGATGTCTGGAATCGCTTCAGCGAAGGGCAACCAGATTCCCATATGGCAGAAACTGGCCACCATATCATGAAAGATTTGCTTACATGAATCTTTGTTCTCTTTCCGAGAGGTGAAACAGAGGTGACGTCACTACTATCTTCCAAGCTCTGAAGAAAATCGATTCCCCGATTAAACACCTGTTTCCTCTCAATACTTCTGATTGTACAAAAGGTAGTGAAATGTCAAAATTACTTTTTTTTTGACTGACTTGTCACTTTTTTTATCTTTTTGACCAATTTTTATGAATATTTTTTTTTGTACACGCTTAAATTAGCACTTTGGTTTTTTTCAAATCTGCATGACTTTTTTCTCCAACAACGAAAAAAGATTTTCTAATCCAAAAACCATTTACATAACTAATTATTTTTCTGTATGGTCGCCTAAAAAACGTTGGTGTACCTCGGCTAAAGAGAATCTTTTCGGTCTCAAACTTCAGTTCGGCCGAAAAAGTTCTTCTCTATGGTCTTGATACTCAAATACCAAGTATTTTAATCCTCAATATCATATTTAGTGACATTTTACTGTACGATTAAGTTAAAACAATTTACCAATGCCCTCCTAGGAGGTCATAAACACGATAATTTTTCCTGTAAAAAAATCGTTATAAGTATTTTTTATGAAAAGTGAAAGATACTGTACATTAATAAATGTAGGCTATTATCAAACAAATTGCTACAATTTTTTATCACATTACATATTGGTTATTCTCCCATCTCATTTATAAGTAGATTTCAGAGTTTAAAAGCCAAATTACTTACTTCGGTTACAAGTTAAACACGGAATATTAAAACAATAATTATTGTGACCCGCTTGTTAAAAATAATGTTTGTTGCTGTATATTATTATTACTAATTTATAATACAAATTTTATTTTTGCTAAAATGCGTAAAAACAAAATTAATGTACGGTATTTCGTGGTGTAATTTTTAGCAACCGTGCTCGTTGCCATCGTTTCAGCTTAAGTTTGCCTTATTTTGCATAATAAAAAAAAATACCTGAACTCTGGATTCTGGCAGATTAATTTTGAGAGCAACTTCTTCTCTCATAAAAATGTCAGGGTAACGCGTCTTTCCGAAGAGGGTCTCCAGGACGTCAAGTTGAGCCCTGGTGAAGGTCGTCCTCTCCCGGCGCTGTTTTCGTTGATTACCTGCGCAAACACATGAATCAGGATTACCACCTCTAATCCCCCTCACTCATTAAAATAGCTCAAAGGTACAAAACAGCCAGTTCTTGTAGACAATCGAACATCGCTTTATTTATAACAAAAAACAACGAAACAAAGAAAATTCGCGCCAAATGTGATTGAACAGATGTTTATTTTTGCAGCTGAATTTCTGCGGAATTTAGGCTGTGGCGTACAAGCCATAAATCAGTCGTGATTTGGAATAAAAGCTGCAATAAAATTCATGTAAATGTGAAATTCTGCAAAAGCGATATTATGTGAACGTGGGTTGCATATATTTTGTTTAATAACATAAATGAGTGCTTTGGTACTGTTTCGGTTTCAGTAAATTTAAATAATTTACCTAAAATAACATATCCTCATATAAAATATAAATATTTTCAATTACAAATTTGATAACCACTAAAACAGATTGTGAAGATTTATCGTATTTATTCGTGAATAATAATTATCAATAAAATTATTCTGTTTTATATAAAGTCTTTTATTCTTATTTATGCATTTGTTGAAGCAGATGCATTTTGTAAATAATATGAGATCATTAATCATTTATGTTTATCGGTGGTATGTGCAAATTGTGGTGCTTAAATTTAGCTTTAATATTTATGTGAGAATTACAGAATATTTTTACTATTTTAGCAAAAATGTTGATATCTTTTGATTTCAGCTTTTGCAGTTATAATTCAAATTATATTTCTTGTTTACTTTTTATTACCTCCTGGATATCCTGCCATGGACGAGTGGAGCGAATCCACTGGTAGTCCATGTAACCCTAAGCCTGGCACGGGGTACGGGGTTGACTTTAAATAGGCCATGCTTGAAGAACTTCCGCCGCAAGTACTTCCAAAACCCGGGAATGACAATTCGCTGTCGGGATTGCATCTGTAAAAACATACTGTTTTACTCCAAGAATTGAGATTTAGCACAAACGTTAAAATTTACGAATTCAACCAATGAAAATCAAATTTTATGTAACTATAAATTTCTTTCCAACTTGCTTGGAACGTAAAAGAACTATTTTTAAAAAAGCAGACCCCCTAACAACTTTGAATATCATTCATTAAAGGCATCTAAAACGTGCCTTGATTTTATAGCGAATACCACATTTTTAACTGTTTTTGAGTGAGATTTAGTTCCATTCAGAATATTAATTAAGTTTAGTTTAGTCTTTATTGAAAAATAGGTTCTAACACGCATTTTTGCATGTTTTTATAGTGTGTTTTACTATTATAGAACAGATTGTAAAGATTGTTCCAAAAAAATGTATGAACCTTGATTGTTTTACAAAAAACTTACTCAACTTTTCCCAAAATTGCACCAAAACAGTAACACTTATTTATTTATCAAAATAAATATTGTTACGAAATAAACCCATACACAGCCCCGGTACGACGCTTATGGGTTTTTTCGAGGGTGCTCTAGTATACACGGTGACGATGACTCAAGAAAAGCCTGAAAGCGGAAGTCGCGATGAGTACTCCAGAAAAACCTCGATCGCGGAATATCTAGAAGGGAAGCATGGGAACGGTTCATTCAGTCGACGAGAGAAACCAGTCAAGTTACGCCGGAATTATTTTATACATAATCGCTGTGTAATTAGTCGTATAAATTTAATTATTAATTAATAATAAATTTGAGTTGATTTTTAATTATCGAACAACGTAACAATATATTTAATACACTTAAAAATTGCGTACCACTCTTATCATCTTTGTACTTTACTAAAATGTACACATTGACATGCATGCAAATTTAGATTATTTTCATATGGCACGGCAAGTAAAGTGAGAAGTAAAGAAGTACAGGAAATCAGTAAATTTAATTTTTCATTTTAAACCAGTTTCTATTACGTAGATTTGAATGTTATAGTTGTTGTTATTTTTTCAAACACACCACTGACCCAGAAATGACCAGCGTTCAGACTTCTATTATTACGGATGCGAAGACAAAAACAAATATACATTTATGAAATGGTTGCCAAAATGACACAACTTTCGAAATCTTGTAATCACAGAATATAAAGTGGCCTGCTGTTATTTTCGAATCTTATCTCATTCCCGAGCTTCGCCGAGTACCGATTATTTTGCACGCATCAATTACAAGTGTCCTATACTACTCTGATCCAGTCGGTTTTGCGTTAACCTATCCTCATCTACTATTCGCCAAATTTAATTTACAGCTCTTTTTGCTAAACCAAGAACAGCTTTCAGTTTATTGCAAATGTTTCGATGTTGATTATAATGCACTAGTAATTTTGAAACGCTATATTTGTTCCACAATTTTTATTTCCCGAGCGTACAAAGAAATAGGTCTCCCATTTTCGTCTATCTGCTTATCTGTCTGCCTGTGCGTCTATCTGTCTGTCCGTCTGTCTGTCTGCCGTCTGTCCGGATTTTTATTAGATAGATAATCTCCGAAACTACTGGACCGATTGTTGTCAAATTTTATATGTGCATTATGAATATCATGTAAAAGGTAAAACACTAACCAAACTTTGTCTAATTATCCTCACCAATAATGTGATGACGTCACTTCAAAATTGTACATAGCAAATGGGTTTTAAATTGTATAAAATAACATAGTCGTAGACATGTAGTTTATGACACCGTGTTGATTTTTTACCCAAAACGTCGAGATTTTTGGAAAAAATTAAGATTGTAAAACAACATTTTGCAAGTTTTAAAGTTAGTGTAAGTATGGTAAATTTTTAATCAAAATATATGTTTTTACCCCCAAAAAATTGATGACCTCATCTCAAAATTTTGCCGAATAAATTCTACCTAAAATGTGGGAAATATGATGAGTTTTTACTTGTAATTTATCATTGCATTCATATTTTTTTGATTTACTCATACAGGTAACTCAAGAAATTAATGAATGAATATTGATATTTTATTGGTTAAATCAGGAACGACTCACTTGATTTATCCAGAAAATTGTGGGAATACAATACTGTTATTTTTAGTACTACACTGCGCCAATCCAAGTTGATATACGTGTCCTCGCAAAAATGTTGATGACGTCATCATAAAATTGTGTGAAGTAAAAACACATTTGAAACATAGGCATAGCATTTTTTACTTTAAGATTATATACATGCATATTTGATTCAAAGATAAATAAAAATCATGGCAAAATTAGTGACAAATTTTGCAGACTGATGAAGCCAAAAAAAGCAAAAGCCCACTTGATTATTTCTCAATGACGGGGGAGCTCACACTTTCCGAGATTAATGTTCCTTCTGCTTTAATGTAATAACTATATATTTTAATTTCCTTTACTTTTTACTGATATGGACTTCAAATCACACATTTAAGTAAAATTCTGTTTCTGATTTTGTAACTATGGCACCACTCGAAAATCGAATTCCCCATTAAGCTATAAATACGAAACCCATCCCAACAACATATCAGACAGTACTTTTTTGATAAATGCTATCAGTTTCATGTAAAACACTTCGTTAGTGAAATTATTTTTTTTACTCAACGTAGCACAAATAAAAAATACATTTCAAAGTCTCCACGTATGAATAACTGTTAATAAATACGATTGAGTTGAGTTGATTCATGAGTCACCCTTTTCTTTAGAGACTTCTTATATTTTAAGAAACATAGTTCAGGACTAGTTAGCGGTCTAATAAAAAATAAATTGAATTTTATAAGACGTTGCTTAAGTATTTTCACACAAGGATCTTATCCTTAAACCTATAACTTGCAGAAAAGTTTTTTTTACAACTAATTATTATTAAATCTTCTTTTATATTACTTCAAAGTTGAAAAGTATAGAAAAGGATTTATGTTTACTTCATCAAGTACTTACAACTTGCGATCAACAAAAATCGTCTTCTAACTAGCTTCGGAGGATTAATCCGTCCTTCTCATCGTCTGTTACAGATAGCTGGTAATGAGGAAGACAGATAATCAGCACCTGCAGGTCGATTTTTGTTGACAGCACATTGTAAAGTATTTATAAAATAATATGAAAACTCGAACAGCAAGATGACAGTTCAATTTAAAATTTCCTCTTAAGCAAACGGTAAATGTTGACTGATTAATAAAAAACAAGTTTCTTTTTGAAGTCAGTTTGACGCTACTCTAAATTTAAAGCAATTTTGAACGAATATGATGTGTATTTCGGAAATTCGAATTTATACTCTTGTTAAAAACGATTTACATTTAATATACTTCTTTAAAGAATCTTACAACAAGATTAATAATAACCAAAGCAGATTAGTTCTTTCCTTTAACACGGGTTGGTCATGATCCTGAATGTTAACAATGCATAAGTTCTGTACTGGTGCACGTTTTTAAACAGAAAAAACCGGTAGGTACTTGCCGACAACAAGTAGGTATTTTAACGCATTGTTTGGTTCGTAAATTTCGGTTTCAAGGTAACAGTTGCCTTAAGTGCACTGTACAAACTGCATTGTACAAATTGCACTGTACAGGTACCTACTCGGAAGGTATTTGTTAAACGTCACCCCTTTTCAATAAGAAAGAAAAGGAGCCAGCCGTCCTCAGACAGACAGCATGGTGCCTGAAAATCCTGGAACGCAAGAATTGGTCACTAATGTAGAAAATACTGTTATTATCGAGGGTTTAGGGCGGCACCACACAAACATCTTCCTATAAAAACTTTCTTAAATGGTTGTCTCGTTGGTCAATACATTTCTTCCTGTTAACAAACCCGAACGCTTCAAATACTCTTCTACGCGATTAACTCAAAAAATTGGGTTTCATTCACGAAAGCCGTTCTAGTAATTGTCATTAGAACGTACAAAGGAGTCAAGATGACACGAGATACAGCTTGATGCGGTGTTTTTGAGTTTGCTGTTATATGAATGGGGTAATAATCTATCTATTACCCCTTATGCCAATTAGAGACGCTGTCGTTTTATGCGATTTAAATCTAGCTCGGACTTTTTGATGATGGCATCTAGTCCCCTTAGCTTTATTAGGGGTAAACAGAGGGTGGCAATCGAGTTAAGCATGACATGATCACTCTGATAACGTTAATGATGGACCATTAGCCAAGCCGGTTGATGCAGCAAGACTGGATGTCAATTACTTTCATGACGTTTAATTTATTCCTTTATTACAAATTAAGCAAAAAACATTCTCATTACGAGACTGCAGCTTCATCTCTCATTTTTTTATTTATTCGTTGTACTCATGCAGCATCCGACGCTCAACGAACTAAACTTGTTACAAATAAAAAAATAATACATTCGACGATTGTGAGTTTGAAGTGCTTTTTTTCGTACAAAAGAAAGGGTATTTTTGATATTCTCACCAATCACCCTTGTATAAACTGCACCCATTGACGGAGTTAAAAAACACTGAGCTCCCTAGACGTTAGTTGTTTAAAATGTATTATAATCTCTCTTAATCTGGCAAGGCATCATGACGTTTCTTTTGTATTTTAAGATTATGTCGTCGCTAACGCCTCTTCTTAGGTCAAGGTGTCAAAGAAACCTGACGCTTGCATCAAGGACAATAAAGTCCAACGTGTTACAGACCGTAACCGAACACCCGAAATTTTGATGACAACTTTTTTCGGATTCTCTTAAGCCGAATTTATCTGATCTTAGATTGACGAGATCTATTTGGTGATTTTTTAAATATTTGGGGGTGTTAAAGTGTTATTAAAGGATTTAAAGACAAACTGGGACCTTTCAACAGCATATTGAATTAATTTTTTGTTATAGTATTAATCACTGTTTCATAAGTTTTGCTATTCCTTACTTGAACTGCAATTCCTTTCATAAAATTAAAATGAATGTTATCAGGAATACTGTTATCACGATAATTTAACCAAGCGACTATTTCATTCGCTATTGTATTAAAAAATGCCGTTTAAACTACACCTTTTCGAAGGACAAA